AATTGTAACTGTTTTTCCTTATTCTCAGTGGGATGCTGATAATGTGCATGTTAAAGCAATGCCTTTGGCAATCATCAGCGTAATGCTTTGATTATGAAAGGCAATGTTATTTGAATGACACCTGATGATATTGTGAAATCTCGTTTGAAGCTCATCTGACAAAATCCTTGTCAAGCTAAAATGTTAGAAAAGATCCAGGAGTCGTATATTTATTAAGGGTTGGCTGCTGTCTATCTCTTTTTGTTAACTAACAGATTTGTTTGCATCTATTTGCAGAGGTACTAAAAGAACTTCTACGATTCTTTCCCAATCTAAACATGACCACAGATTCATCAAATACTACCGCCTTACATACAGCAGCTGCTCAGGGACATGTTGACATTGTCAATCTGCTTCTAGATATTGATCCTAATGTTGCAAAGATAGCTCGCAACAATGGAAAGACTACTCTCCATACTGCAGCAAGAATGGGTCACTTGAAAGTGGTCAAATCCCTTCTAAGCAAAGATCCTAGTATAGGTTTCAGGACTGACAAGAAAGGCCAAACTGCACTGCACATGGCTGTGAAGGGCCAAAATGTGGATATTGTTCAGGAACTAATTAAGCCTGATGCTTCCGTGTTGGGCTTGGAAGATACTAAGGGAAATACAGCGCTCCACATTGCAACAAGGAAGGGTCGAACTCAGGTACAAGAACTTTTGCTTTGTCCCCAAGCTTAGCTTTATGATTAGTTCGTTGGGAATAAGAAATGATATGAACTAGGTTTTTCTTTCTTTCAATTCCTCTTTTGTGAATGATATGAATATAACTAGAATAATCAAATGTATATTTGCTGTTTAGAAATGGTGTAGGTTGGCACCATACGCCGTGACACGGGCTTTTGACATAGTTCTTTTTATATTGAACGGTCTTCCTTTTGTGCTGAGCTGTTATTCTCTGTTGAATGCCACCATGTTTTGTTTGTTGTATGTTTCATGAGTTTGCTGACCTGTAGACCTGTGATTCAAACGGTTCGTACATGGTTATTTAACCACACTTTCTGTGGAACCTACATAATGGAGTAAAGTACACTTGATAGTAATTGTGTGTGTATGTGTTGTTGTTGTTTTTCCTTCTCTCTGTAACTAAGCAAAACTTGAGATTACTGGTTCTAAGTTCTCTTTTCAGCTGCCACTTCTGACAAGGCCCCATATTGTTGTGTCCTGTCAAGCCCCAAACTGATGATAATAAGAGAAAGTCTGAAACATCAGGCAGGGTTTCTTTTTTTTGTACTCACAAGCTTACGCTGATTTAAGTGAAATTAAGATTTGAAACACTTCTATAGTTACATATTTTTGGGACAAACAATCATCTAAATGGTTCAATCTTTCAAGGACGTACTAGGGTTGTGATCACAGATTTATAACTTGTTTAATCCTGATTCTCTGTTCAATTTTGTACTATTGTGTGGCAGATTGTACAGTTGCTGATATCCAGTGAAGGTATTGACATCAATGCAATCAATAAGGCTGGAGAGACCCCTCTCGATATTTCTGATAAGCTTGGCATGCCAGACCTTGAGGCTATTTTAAAAGAGGCTGGAGCTGTTCATTCTAAAGACCATGGAAAACCACCAAGTGCTGCAAAGCAACTCAAACAAACAGTGAGCGACATCAAACACGACGTGCAGTCCCAGCTTCAACAAACCCGTCAGACTGGGTTTCGAGTAAGGAAAATTGCAAAGAAAGTCAAGAAGCTCCACAGCAGTGGCCTTAACAATGCCATCAACTCAGCAACAGTTGTGGCTGTCCTGATTGCAACCGTTGCTTTTGCTGCCATCTTTACAGTACCTGGTCAGTATGTTGAGGAAAAAACAGATGGATTTTCTCTTGGCGAGGCCCATATAGCCAAAGATGCAGCTTTCATTATCTTCATTTTGTTCGATAGCGTGGCGTTATTCATCTCCCTTGCTGTTGTTGTGGTTCAGACGTCTATCGTCGTGATAGAACAGAAAGCAAAGAAGCAACTCATGTTTGTAATAAACAAGCTCATGTGGTCAGCGTGTCTTTTCATTTCAATTGCTTTCATATCTCTCACATATGTGGTGGTCGGACGGCGAGAGAGGTGGCTTGCAATCTATGCTACTGTAATTGGGAGCACCATAATGCTTGCTACAATTGGCTCGATGTGCTACTGTGTGGTTCGACATAGGATGGAAGAGTCAAAGATGAGGAACATAAGGAAAGCGGAGACACTGTCTCGTTCCTTTTCAATGTCAATGGTGTCAGAATCCGAATACTATAATGAAAACTATAAGAGGATGTATGCAGTTTAGACTTCAGAGGCATCTCATTTCATGTAAAAACAATGGCATTTGCAGCTGAAGGACTACCGTTGCTCAGATTCGCAGTATAGTAACCTGCAATTTAACGGAACCGGTAACTTCGTGATATGTATCTGATCCTGAAATGCGTGATTCTACAAGCATGAAGATTACCTGAAACATAAGTTTTGTATTCCTGGGAGCGAAGTTTATAGCTGCTCCTGAATCGAGTTTATCTCAGAAGGTGTTGACCGGCAGGATTTTGATTTTCGATGTAGTATACAAAGTTAGGTATATATTTACTTGTGTGACACACAGACGCAATGATAATAATAGCTGTTCCAATTTGTGTAGTTTCCAGTCTTCCATTTTTTGTTGTTGTCATATTAACCTGCTCTGTTTGCTGACAGTTCATAATTCATCGTCTAAGAAAGAGTCGGTATTGTGAATAGAAATCAGCTTTCTGGGCTTTCTCAATTTGTGATTCATCCAAAGGTTCATTGCTTTTCTTACTTTAAGATGGGCTTCCTGCTACATAGGGTTGAATGGTTTAGGGTTTAGGGATGCCATGTTTGCATTTGTCTGTTTTCTGTGTGTTGCAGTAAACCTTAATGAACAGCTTTGTGCAAGAAAATATAGAAAAGAATGATGAAAATTGAAGGTTCTACCTTAAGGCGGTGATAGAATTTGGATATCTGAACCGATGTTCTTCAACAACAGGCGAAAACAATCTCGATCCACCGTCTGAATTACTTACATTCTGACACTATTCTACTGTAGTCTTCTGAAGAAATGCATTGCTAGATTGGACATTGAAAAACTTCCTAGGTCATCTATTTACTTGTGGTGGTATTCTGCATGCCTGAAGTTCTGCCTTTTGGCTTCAAGGAACACGCAAACTTTGGTGATCATCAACCACATCAGAGCTGGCCCCACTTGCATGTTTTTGTAAGGATTTTTGATGAGAGCTTCCACGATATTTCCTCGAGGTGCTGTTGCTTTTTGAAGAGTGAACATGATGGACAGCATTGTTGGCGCTGAACCGATGACGAACATATACCTTGTAAGTTCCCATCGCAAGCGAACTGCTTCCTCTTACAATGACTAACAAAACCACTTCCTTGTCTCTGGTATCTTCAGACCACCAGCTTTGTGGTATTCCTTCGACAAACTCTTCCAACGTGTGGAATTCCTCGTGATGCAGGGAGATCTCAGTTGTTTGTTCCGGAGTTAGGACCCCTAGTGCTGGTGTGACCTATACTCAGAGATGAAACAAGGCAACATATTAGCCCATGTTTGTTCAACTAAATTGCATGAAGGAAAAGAAAACCGTATAAGTTTTAAAATTTTAGAAAATTGGCTAAAGCATTAATATTACACACAAATTCTGGTTAGTGATGACAGCTATTACAACTAATCTTTATCTCTCAATATATGAGGTTTGCTATTTAGAATATATGTCAGTGATCGTACTCAATCCAGTAACTTACATTCATTTAAACTCAAATAAATCGTGTCCTTCTTCGTAGGTTTAGCAATAGTGATCATAATTTTAAGGCCTTGGGTGAAATGGAGTACAGGGGTTACCTCGAGCCAGCGGGGAAAACCATAGGAACCTCTGGGACGATATTCTGATGGTTGCTCATCCTCCTTGATTGTTGATTGGCCTTCACATATGATTTGAAAGAAAACTTCGTCTTTCATACTTCTGTTGGTAATTTGTAGATTAAATGTTTCTTGATTTTGCAGGACAATCCTGTCAGTGCTGAGAGTAATTTCTGGAACAGAACGGAGTTCATCCAAGCAAGCCCGGACATGAAGATTGGACTCCAAGATCTTTCCGAACTCCTGTCTACGCACTGATCTATCAACATGAGCAATTTCCACGTTGAATTTGCAACGCACTGGTTTGTGATCACTTTCAGTAACCTCCATGATAGCCTCATACCTAGCACGTGATAGAAATGTACAATTAATTGACCAATGAAGCAAAAACATCGTAGGCTAGAAAGACAGTGAAGGAAATTTTTCTAAAATAACATACATCAAAACAGAAGCAACTACTGGACACTCTAAGCTGCATTCCTCTGCCGGAACCATTCGATTGTCTCTATATAGCACCCTATCACACCATGCAGGTATACGTTTCTTCTCCCCAGAATCATATCCTGAAAATGAACACGGTTTCCAATCAGAGTTCAGGGCAGGAAAAAGACCCAAAAATTGTCAACTAGTTTAGAGATTAGTTACATGTAATGGTAATGGTTTGGATAAGGAGAAATTTGTATCATTCTCACCTCCTAGACCTGGCTTTCCCTTCTCAAATTTGTAGGTTGGGGGAAACCTAAGAAGGGCTTCACGCATTCCTTGAAAAACTTTTCCGGCTTTCATCTCTGCTCTCAATTGATCCCTTTCACGAAGCCAATCAAAGCTTCTTTGGGAAACAAAGTCTCTTGCTTCGTCATAAGATATCCCAAAAAGGCGATAGTTGAAATCACCAGTGAACATAACCATATCTGCATCAGCAAGATCAGGTTTGCTCTCTTCAGGGGTTTTTTCTGCATTCTGCGGAGAAAAAAAAAAAAGGAAGAGGAAGAAAAACACAGGCGAAAGAAGAAGTTTATCAGAGCTTTATCCTTCAGAGAACCAGAAACACATAAGCTCCTCTAAACATACATATGTAGTAGGGTATTCATACATTTGGTGTGCGAAGCGTTTGTGCTGCAGATGAGACACCAGCTGCAACAGAAAGGACCCATGGAAAGCCAGAAGAATAAAGCAGCCAAAATAAATATGTGGAGAGGATAAGAGAGCAACACAAAAACAGGTACGGCAGCATACCAGCAGCATTGTTCAGAACAGAAGATCGAGAAAAAGTCATGGTTCGAAATATATGATCAAAATCAGCATTGCGGCGATTCACTGCTTCCAAGTGTGCAGCAAAATGACAGTTGACAAAGCACATTATGCGGTCAAATACTCTCAGCCTCAATCCTACACCACCCTACAGACAAGTACAAGGCACAAAAGATCAAATTTACCACTACTGAAATATAAATTGTAGATTTCTGCAAATTAGTTGTACAAAAGATAAACTGTCATTGCAAGAAGCCCAAACTAAGAACCACTTAAGATTTGTTAGAATGAGTCTCTTTGTGGTGTTTCAGAGAATTAATGTTCCTGTTTATAAGCAGTATGGAAATATAGTTGTAGCAGAATGTTGAAATCAGTATTTTACAGCCGAAAGAAATTTGTCAAAAGCTACAAATTTCAGTGATGTTAAAATTAGAGTATCTGTCATTATGCTTTCAGTCTGAATGTCTTCTAAGCTTTCTGCTTGTATTAAGAGGATAGCAGAACACTTTTCCTCCTTATTTTGATAAAACAAGCTAGGCTGTCTTAAACCTAAACTCCATTATTGCTTCAAAATTCACATTACAAAATCATGGCCGATTGCACTTAGATGGGAAATAGCATCATCGTGAATGGCAGAAAAACACTAAACCCTTAACTAGCATTGTATCTGTACCACCTTTACTGAAGAGTAAATTTAACTACCTTGTTACCGATTGCACGACCTAAACCGCATGCGACTGCTCCCACATCAAGGTCTCCAACATGTGTTCTGAGAGTTTTCCTCACCCTATATAAACATTGTGCACAAAGACTTAAAACAGACATAACAGATACGGATAGTATAGTAACACAATCGCTGAGCAGACAAGATGTGCTGATACTTGAGAATAAATTTAAATTTTATTTGACAAAACTTAGATCATTAGTGCGCCTTAAAATAAATGATTACCAGATTGCTATTAGCAAGGCAGCCAGCTGCCTTGAGCCTACACGCTCAAAAGTCGAGCCTTCATCTAAGGTCTTTCCTATTGCATCCTGCCACCATAGCCCTATGGAACTTCCTTCAAGTCCTACCTACAATGCAAAATAAAGTTGACTTTTAAATCACTGCATACTGTTGCTTCAGATGTGGGAAAAAAGTTAAAAGTTTTCTGTATTCTACTGATAAACTGTGCAAGTTCACTACATTTTTTGTGGGAAAGAAGATTGCTTTAGTTTGTTTGTTTGAGAAACTTACAGTTTCTTTTGCTGCAGACATTGCTAGAAATCCCGCTCCCATTTCAACTTCTTGCAATCCAACGACTACAATGCCAACATCTGATGAAGCAGAACCCAACCATGCTGTCAATGCTTCTTGAGAGGCCCTTCCTTGACTGACATTCCAGGTACCTACTAAAATTTTCATATTTTCTTGTGTTGTATACATTTGTTCTTTTGCAGCTAATTCTGGTCGTAATAATTTGTCAATGGGACCTGGAGAAGCAATACTCCATCCGCGTATACCACCATGAGTCGCCATGCTAAAAACATAACCATTTCCTGCCACCAGCTTGATCACTGGACCATTATGAGCCACCCAACTTGCAAGTAAGTTTCCCTTAAGATCCAAAACTTGGAGGACACCACTTACATAACCAAGCCATATTCGCGAGCCATAACAGAAAAAGCTAAGAACAGCACAAGATTGGTGATGAAAATCTTGGAGCCGGTTGCCATTTCCGTCCCACTGAACAAGTAAACCATTTGAACAACCTGTCCAAATAATCCCGTCTGAAGCAATCATTAGAGCTTCTGTTTTCTTAGTATCTTCAACAAATGCTCCTGCCCCCTTTGTCGCCACTCGACGCACAGCATCTGCTGCTCCCATGATGGCATTACGTGACCTCTGCAAGAAACTATGTTGCGATTTTTCCTTCTTTGATTTTGACACAAATTTGACATTCATCTCGTCTTCAACTGCTTGGTCTTGTACGGAAGGCATGTCGGCTCGATTTTCAATTTGACCGTCTACATTAAATACTTTAATAAGTTCCCTTGTTCGAGCATCCCTAAAGATTAACAATAATGAAAAAGAATGAGGGTTCAATTATTGGATAGATACCTCTGCGCTTGAATTGTTAAAATGGAGTATGCAAAAACACTAGATAACATTACCACAATGAAAATGATAAAGACCCTGCAGCCCAGATCCTTGCTCTACTATCATCAGATAAAAGACACTTAACATCCGAAGATGAAATGTTGCATACACCATTCACAGTGACTTGGCTTCTAAGATCAACAAATGATCTCTCAACCAGCAAAGCGGCCATGTGCCTTTCTTCAGGAGAGAGAGACACAGATTTTTCAACAGATTCCCATGGCCATATTTTAATGATGCCACCCTCGGAGCCTGACCATATATCACCTGAACCAATGCAAAACATATAAGAAATGGTGAAAACATATTTAAAACTTATTAGGAACAGTGTTTTCCCTCAATTACAAAAAGGAATGCCATGAAAAAGTCATTGGAAAGTACTTAGAATAACATGGTAATAAACAAATGACAATATCTAACAGGAACAAGTTTAGGGGAAATCACATTAGTTGGGAAACTCAAGGATGTATCAATTATTACCGTAAGAAGATATCACCATGGAAAGAACTGGACCACGGTGAGCCTGCCAAGAAAGACCTTCCTTGAAAGGTGTATCATCTGAATGTGGCTGGTCCATCCTCCATGACCGAATCTTCCCATCTTTGTGCCCACTCCAAACAAGCTTTGTCCCTGGATCGACCATCAAACAGTATGCAGGCGAAGTACTTACTGACTCATAAAACGGTGCTGCATCCTCATCCCCTCTCCTAGCTCGTCCTCCTACACCACTTCCCGGCTTGTATGCATCTGCTAAATTCCAAACCCGAACACCACATTCTTGGCCTGCCCATAGTTCTGTGTCCGTGGAAGCAATTGTTCTTAAATACTTTCCAACCTGAAAGAATTACTTAGAAAAAGTCACTTGCTTGATTCTGAAGATTAGATATCGTAAAGGGAAAAAACAAAATCCATGCTTGCCATGGTCATCTCCTGTTCAACTAATGAACAAGGTTCAACCCCATCCAATTCTTCCTGTGACTTAACAGACAAAGAAACCTCCCAAATTATTTTGACAAAGTATTTGTTGTAAGTTCTTAGTAAAATTGCATTTACCAAAAATAAAATCTACCGTAACAGATCATATGGTGTCCACAATGTATAGAGCTGGAAAACAGTTGGAAAGAGATTAACCAGATACAACTTGAGCACATATCTGATATCTCATTGCAAGTTAACCGTAAAAAAGGAACTAAATTCTTGTAATTGCATAATGAAGAAAAAAAACAAACACTGGTTTAGCTAATAAACGGTGTGGAAACCAATTTCTTGCCACTCCATTCTAAGAGAAAAACAACGCAATCCAAAATCATGGAAATCGAATATGCAATGTGCCCAAGGACTTGTCACGCTCATGCATTAAAATGGAAGAAAACTCACCACTCGTACCGAACTTTAAGCATTCTGGGAATCGATGATTTCATGAAATACCAAATAAACCAACCCTAAACTCAAGTTTAAACAAATAACATTGAATGAATGGAGCAGTAAAATGTTGATTTGCTACTTTATTCTTTGAAAAATCCTCTATCACCTACCTGAGTTTCTCTGAGAGGATGTGGCCTAAGCTCAAGACAAGGAGGCCGACCAGGGTGAACCGCGGCACGAGTAGGCACCCTAAAAATCCCATCACCACCACCCGCCCCCATAAACTCTGGCAGTGGCTGCTGCTGCTGGTGATGATGATGATCCTGACTCATCATCCCTCCAGCACCGCCATCCCCAATCGACATTGTCCCATCAGGACCGCAAGCAGCCACACTAGCGGTGGTGGTGGAATAAGGGTAAAAATCTTCAGCATCGTCATCTGAACCTTCCAAAAGATAACTATAGGTGTTGCCACTAGAAATGTTGATAGTTTTAGCCTCATCCAAACTGTGCTTTCTGACTTGCCGGTTTTTCTTGTGATGTGTTCCGGTATTGGATCGCAGTTGTTGGCTGTATGAATGAGATTTTCTTGGTATTGGTGGGGCGTTTGATAGTCCTGCCAATGCATCTCTGTCATCTTCCTCCAAGTTCCGATCCTCCATCAATTACTGTAATCTGATCTCCTCCTTTTTCTACTTCCCTTCCTGCAAGTGATGGTTTTTTTTTTCCTTCTTGTTCATGCAAGATTAACAGGCCTCAGATTTGGGAGGAAAAAATGGGAAAGAAAGAAAACATAGAAAAGGTCAAAACAACAAACCAAATGGGGGCAAATCAGTGACAGATGCTATTTTTGCATGGAATGGTATTTTGCATGGGAGTGCGGGAAATGAGGCTCATCTTCCTGGGATTGTTCGAACTATAACCAATCATTAATCCTATGATTTTGGTCTGGTTTGTCAGAGGTTGAGTTGTACACATCCATGGTCCTGGGAAGAGTGGATTGGACTGTTGTCATATAGATAATTAAAACTCCAGTTTTTACTAATAAAAGACTTGTTAATTACAATGTCAAAAGTAAATTCTTTTTACACGTTTTCAAGTTAATTTTTTATCACACAACTCGCTGAGTAGCCAGCTTCAATATTGAGATTACCTCACAATATTTGATGAAAACTCTCATTTTCACATGAAGATGTACAATTGAAGGGTACTGAAAAAGGGAAATTCTCTAATCAATTGTGGCCTTCAAGAGGAGAGTTGTGTTAGATCTCACAAGTTCAGAGATAAAAAAAAGTTTCCAAAGAACGTTTTTTGGTCTCAGTACAGTTTTACTTCAATCATCTGACTGCAAAACTAGCAGTCAGCACATTCTTCTATTTCATATTTCAAAACCCCCAGAATGCCAAATTGAGCATAGAAATTAGATGTATCCATGGAATTGCAATGAAAATAATCAAACAATTCGGTATGTATGAAACGGAGTTTTGGTGATCGATCACAAGGATGACTGACAGATTGGTCTTTTCCACCTTCCAAGCTTCTCAGCTCCCTGCAGCAGCCAAGAAATTGAAGAATGAGATTACCACAAGGATTATAAACGTAACTCATTCCAATTAGTAAAGTCTCAAATAAAAGGTTTAGACCAAAATGGAGTACTCAGGGCCTCAGAAGAAAGCTTCAAAACCCGAACGGCAAGGAGCAGAATAACATAAAGATTTACATTTCAAAGTCTTTACTATTGCTAGGCCATTATGTGTCAAATGAAGGAGACAAATGTTACCTTGCGACGTGCAACAGCCATGTCATTGTCCACAATAGATATTGCCTTGAAACCCAAAGGATGCAACACATCTTCATAACTACAAGCAAGTATTTTAGGTAATAATTACTCGAAAGAACCATTAATCAAGAAAGAATAAATGTGGTTCCAAATTTTAACAAGAAACTGATATTTCAAAGGAACCAAATGAACAGCCAATTAAGCTGGAAAGATGCAAGTGCGTACTCGGCAACAGATACTTTGTACGGTGGTCCACCCTCGTGATTGCTAACCTGTGCCAAAAAAAAAAAAAAATACATGTCAGCTAATAAGCTACAGTTCAAGAGCAACTTTGAAAAAGTAGTTGGCAGAGCAATTGGAAGCTTTCACGTTATAACATAACGCAGCTTTTACTCTATCCAGTGACTAAACTCCTAACTAAAATCCAGCCAGATTCTCCTAATGAACTGATTCCCGAGAAATCGAAATTTGGCAGCTACGAACTTTGGACTTACAGTCACAGGCTTAACCATTTACCAAAAAAATAACTTTGAACTCTAACATTCACATCATCTGAGTCCATGTATTGACATAAAGAAAATACATACCTTTTTTTCGTTAAAAAGAAATATTTTCAGATAATACTCAGAAAGCAGGAATCAAGAGAGTGTTACAAACCGGAAACATCAGAGTCATCAACTCTCCACCTGGTTTCAAAAAATCTCGCATTTTGACAGCCCAAGATGACCTCAGGTCTGGTTCAATAGCACAGAAAAACCTGCAAAGCTAAGTTCTGAGAGTACTAGCAAGAACAACATAATTTTCAAGTGTTATGGAAGACAATAAAACTATGATCAAGTCACACTCACGTGTAGTCGAAAATGAAATCAAACAACTCTGTTGGATGCCAGGTGAAGAAGTCTGTCTTCAGGAACTCAAAATATTTTCCATTTGCTGATGAGGAGAACTGCCTTGACAAGCCGAAAAGCAAAGCAAACATTTCCGAAGAATCATGAGTACACAGATAAAAGTTTATGTTTGACATGCATGATTTCGAAGATTCTAAAATGAGCAATCTTTCAAACAAAAGAAATCCAATATTCTAGTACATTTGACAGTAAAAATTAGCATCATTTTACAAACAGCAATGCTACCAATGACCAGTCAGTCAGTGCTAAATGAGAGTGAAAATAATACCGAACATGTTAAGGAATACAGGTTCAATAGCAGCAAAAGAAAAAATTAAAGGGAAAAAAAGGTAAACACCTTTAAGGCATTCTCAATAGCTGTTTCTGATACATCAAGGCCAACAACATAGCGCTCAGGACCCGCGATTGCCAGAACATCATATCCCTGATAGGTGTTTGCATAAAAACCCGATCTCAACCAATGCAACAATACTTCAATGGAACTCTCCCTTGATAAACTTCAATGGACACAGGATCCAACAAATACAAATAAAATCCAAGAAAACTCACACTAAAAAAATTTTTACTAATGTTTGCTCTCAAAACTACTAATTTGGTACTTGGTAGTATGACGAGCCTTAACAAAAAGTAAGGAGAAAAGTGATAACATAGAAACATACAGACTTCTGCTAAACTGGGGAAAAGAATAAACCAATTCATCTGCAATAGTGGCACACTGAATGTTAAAGCTGGATTATTTGCAGCAACAGAATCAAATTTTCATGGTTCTACCTTGTTGAACATACACAAACTTCCTATCAGATTCAAGGGTAAATTCATCCATTTCCTTCCTTAGATATGCACATTGCAACAAAAACCTCCATTTTCTATTAAGAACAAAAGACAAATCTTTCTTCGGAAAACAATCACAAACTACCACATCCCCTCTAAGGCAGAGTTTTACAACGAAGACAATATCAAACAAAGCCAAAACGATATTGGGGGGAGAAATAAACGGGGCACATCCCCTTAAGAAAAATGTACAAAATGATTTATCCCAAAATGCTCGCTTCTGTTGTAACAATGAATAGGACTAAATTGACAGAAAAATCTCAGAAGATACTTACAGTACCACAACCAGGGATCAAAGCCCTCCCCTGTGGAATTTCACCCTTTTCATGAAGATGCAAGAGAACTGGTGTAGGCTGCCCTAAGTCCCAAGGCGTCAACCCTTCCTCCCAGCACTTCTGCCAACCTCCATCTAAACCCCCAAAACAGAACCAAGAAATAAACAGCTGACAAAAATAAAAATATTGGATTATTGGGAAAGGGAAAAAAACCATTCTTTCAGAAACCCATATGATTGAAGCAAAAAAGCAAAGCTTAACCAATCAGATGCTTGAACCAACCAAAAAACACTAAAGTAAAAATTCTGTCTTGGGTACAAAAATTCCATGAAATGCTTAAACCCATATGAATAATCGATCAACCCACCAAAAAGACTGACTTAATCAACAACCAAAACCAAAATCCCTTCTTGGGATTCCAAAATTCGAAGGACATTCTTCCAATAATAAAAGAAATTAAAGAATTATCAGCTGTAATGATAGGAATGAATTCAAATGACTTTACCAGTGGTGGGGTTGGAGTGAAGGACTTGTTGGAATTTCTCTACTTTAGCTGATGATTTGGGTGTAGAAGTATCATTAGTAGAACCGCTGGATGATTTTCTCGCCCTTTCCATTCTGGGAATCTTGAATTTCAGCAGAGCAGATGATGATGACGGTAATGAAGTGATCAATAACCGCAAATTGCAGGTGGGGAAAAGAAGCCTCGAACTCATAAGAGATTTTTTTCCCCTTTCGGACAGTCAAAATTTAATTAAATATAGCCATCGGACTTATCTTTTTCACACGTTGTATGCGTGTTTTTCCTCTTTTTCTAAATTGGGATGAAAAAGATTGAAACTTTGTAACTTTGCAAGATTTAATAATGGTGATGAATAAGGGTTCAAACAAAAAGTTCCCTTTTCTTTTTTTTCATCTTTTGCTATGACATAAATTCAGGCCAAAACCAGAGAAATTCTTTGATATTCAGAGCAAGAAAATAATGAAAGAACAGAGCTAAAATTTCATCAGCATCACATTATACAGGAGAAAAAAAACTCCTTCATAAATCTCTCAACAAATGAATGAAATCAACTTTTTCAGAGTACAATTATATCACTATCATCGGTATCTTCACTATGATCCCAAAAAACTTCCCCTGAGTTGGAGGAGTCATCCAGTACAATCACGGGAATCTTGGGTTTCTTGGAAACTGAGAGACTATATCTTGTCGGAGGATTCCGCTGATTCAACTTCTTCAGCCCCATTATTCATCATCTTCCCTGTAATGGGTTCTGTTACTTGATTTCCTTCCTTCATCTGATCAGTGTCCCTTTTCTTCAAATCATTATTAGTACACTTCTTCAATTTCAGTAGGCTAATGATAGTCTTCTCCTTCTTGTTGTTCAATTTCAGTAGGGTTTGATGGATCTCGTTTTTCTATCCAGTGATCTTCAGTTTCAACTCTTTGCAGGCCTTCTTCATGTTTTCCTTCTTGAATCTGAGACAGAGGATCTTCTTTCAGCATCCAATCATCTTCAGTTTCAGCTCTTGACAGGTTTTCTTCATGTTTTCGTTCTTCATCTTAATAAATTGGTGGTTGATAAACAAGACAATGCAACACCAGGTAAAATTATGCAGGGCATATGATTGAAACAGAGAAAAGAAATTGAAGATGTTTGGCTTATGGGAGGCACTCCTATTCAAAGCCGTTTTGTTCTAATGAGAGTTGGATTAATTATTTAAGTTTATGAAAGCACAAAACTTATAGGCAATTACATTTGTTCTTCCGATTACACTTCAAGGAGGAAAAAAAATGTTACGATATCATTTGTTCCAAAAAAAATAAAACAATATTATTAAATTAATATAATTCAATAAATAAACTACTTTCGGCCTTTCGGGAACAAAGGGAGTCGTATTTTAACATAAAATAGTAACTTATTTTATAGTCGTATTTTAAGTGAGATCGAAGAAAAAGTTGAATTCCATCAAATTAATTCATCCGATTTAACATTATTTGAGTAATAATAATAACTACACTCAATATAGTGAACTCGTAATAAACTGCATTATTTGAGTAAATTACAACTAAAACGTGTTGGGATTGATTAGTAAGAACTCATCCATCTTTTTGAGAAGTCTATAATTCAATGACGGGTATTAATTACGACACCCTACAAATATGCTAAAAGAAAGGAAAAAAAAAACACGGATACCATGAAATCTTCCCCTGACTGTATCATCACTATCACCATGTATCATCACCATCATCCGTAAAGAATTCCTCTGAGTCTGAGTCAGTCGAAATCACGCGAATATTCGATTCCTTACTGAATTCCATTGATTTGACTTCCTGATCAATCCTATTACATGTCTTCCCGCCAATGGGCTCTGTTTCTTCAACTCCCTTCCCGAACAGAGTGTTCTTTTTCTTCAGATTACTGCACTTTTCTTCAACATCAATCCGAAATCCTTTAATGGTCTTCTCAGATCAGGACATTTCTTCATCATCAATCCAATACCCTTTGTTGTCGGCTTAAAGATCTTCTTATTGGCCAATTTTAGTACTGTTTGGCTGCAGGGGATGATCTTCTTTTTGCACCCAATCATCTTCAGTTTCAACTCTTTATAGGTATTCTTCATGTTTTTCTGCTTCAACCTAAGGCAGAGGATCTTGTTTTTGTATCCAGTTATCTTCAGTTCCAGCTTTTGGCAAGTTTTCTTCATGTTTACGTTCTCCATAACGTTATATTATGCAGGGATTATGATTGAACAGAGAAAAGAAAGTGATGAGTTAAAGATGCGTGACAGTGTAAGACTTATTTATAGGCTTTTTGTTTTGCTAAACAATCCTATTGAGAGTTGGGTTCATTAAAGTAATTTTAGGAAAGTGGAAGTATTTTAGGAAATTTATTTTAGGAAACTACCAGCAATATTTGGAAAGTAATGGCAATCATATCTTTTCAGAAATTCTATTTTCCGTTACATGAGTCCAAATTCATAAAAAAATTTCAACTTTCAAGGAGAAAATTGCTGAACCAAAAAATCTAATGCTGCAAATTATTATACTTCCTCCGTCCAAAAAATATATAGTCAGTTTTATTAAACCAAAAAAAAAAAACAATAAAAATTAAGTATATCTCAAGAATGGAGAGAGTGATATTTTAGCATAAAGTTGTAGCTTCTTCCATTAGTCCTATTCTCAATTGTGGCATGTATCCTTTTTTACCCTGCATTTATAAAATTTTGTTTACAGATCAAAGACTTTAGTTCTATGTTGACTTAATTCGTAAGATTTAATGTAAGATCTCAAAATGTGATAACACAAGAAGAGTTTTTTCTTATATGGAACATGCATAGTTTCAAATTAATGGATTTACACCACAAAACACACGAGCATTTCGAATTAAACTTGGACAACATTATTCTTAGCCAACTTATCAACACTCTGCACGTGTGAAAATGTTGAAATTAAACACAAAATTATCAAGTAATTTTTTTTTCTTTCAATCAACTTAGTGGTTTCAAAGTTTCCATTTCAGATAATTAGCACACCCACCCGAAAAAAAAAGAACAACAAACAGATCAAAGTAAAGGAGAAGACAATAGTAAGAGGAACAATAGTCAAATGAAGCAAGTACTTCTAAAGTCGACAAATGAAGGCTTTGTTCGTTTCCTTTTTTTGTTGGTTTTTTCAGAATTTAATATTAATAACTGTCCCATCCCATTATATCTTTTTACATTTTCAATACATTTTTTTACATTCTCAATACAAAAAACACCTAAAAACACACACTAAAAAAAGAAACAAACAGACCCGAAGAGTGGCAACGGATGCTTAGGTGGAAGAAAGAAACATCCAAAGAGCTTCCAAAAATGCTTATGATATACTATATCGCCTTTCATAGCTCCTTGTAATGACTAGATGTATAAAACCATTCCCATTCTTCTCCGTTTTGGAATACACATCAAATTAATACTGAATCAATTTTTTAACGTCTGAATGAATGAACGGGTAATGTATAAACCTATTAATTCAAGAAGAAAAAAACACGTAGAATTTGAAGAGCATTCACACATGTGAGAGTCACTGGCCTCGTGTTTGATCATCAATATCATCTCGAGGACCAATAATTAGTGAGAGGGCATTTCATCTTCTAAGATTCTTATTAGTGGAATTATTCTTCCAATCCTTGTATTGGGTGCCTCGTTTTGAAATAATGTGGCACATATTATTGCTACTTATTATGCAAAATCTCATGTGTAAGTATTGTAACTTAGTCGACATCTTGCACTACTAATTAGACCTAACTAATTTCTAGCTATTTTAATAAAACATTTGTTTTTTTTTTTTTTTTGAAAAGAATAAAGATTGTTTTTGTTACATATAACTGGGTAGCGTGAGTAAAACCCGAGTGAATTTCTAAATATTGTTCTTAATGTATGTGAAGCATGTGTGAAAAATATTTTTATTTTACTTTATAACTTCAATCAAAATTAAATTCTAGAAATAGAAATTATAAATCTTTAACAACCGTACTTTCCATCCCTTTGTGGTAATTAAAAACACACACTGCAAATTTTCTTCATCTTTGTAATCTTTTCTTACTCTGCTGAAGTATCAATAATTCTTCCATTTATTCTTGTTTCTTATAAGAAAAAAAATTTACATGAAATCCTAATATTTTCTTCAATAAAACAATATCTAAATCGGTGTAGTTTTTACTAGAACATATATATCGATATACATATTTCAGAACTTTATTTCTTAGAACTTTTTTACTATAATTAATTTTTTTTTTTTTTTGGGAGGAAGATGATGCTACTTTAATTTTGATTTTTGTGGTATCATTTGAAAAGAAAGAGACAATCTGTATTATATTTTACCTACTCTTCTCAATTCGAGATCTCATATTGTTCATTTTGGGCGAAAAAACTTGGTTCAATGTTAAACAGAGAATCATACTTAAGCCAAATTTGAACCATTCTCTCATTTTTTTTCTGATTGCAAATATGGGGAGTGGTTTTTATTTTATGTATTTTGTGTAATAAAAAATAAGAGTGATTATGTCATTATAAAATTATATTTATTTTTTTATTTTTAACAAATAAACTACTGTCCGTAAAAAATATTTTAAGGTTCCTGCCCCTTTTATTAATTTGACATGCTCTACTGCCCTTTATCCAATTTTTTTTTTTTTTCTTTTGAATAACACCTTTAATTGCAATCCAAGTTTTTAATTTCACCAAAAATTTTGGACCAATTTTTTAATTTGCTCGAAATAGATGTACAATAAGGTGAAAAAAGTGGAAAACGTAGGGATTCAAAATGGGTCAAAAAGCCGGGTTTACCGGGTTCCCTTAAATCTTTCGACCCACATATAGCTTAAACCCTATTTGATTATTATTCCATCTGCTCTACAGCTTCCTTATCTTCAGTCTGTTCGAAGCATTTCATCAAACATCCATGGCTTCGCTGATTTAGCCGGAAAATACTAGGTATGCTGCCGGAACTTCGGCCGGCTTCAATGGTTTTCTTTCTTGGCAAAGGTTTAATCTTTCGTGTTAATCATTTTTCTTATCAACTCCTGGTAACAAGAAATGATATATGGCCAGTGGAATTTTTTTTATTACAGTTCTCCAATTAGTTTGTTTCAATCTTAGTCGAAGTACCAATAAGCTGTTTTACTTGGTTCTTACTGAAAATTGCTTGTTTGGGGTTTTAATGATTTCGTTTTGCTCAAAGTATTTTATCAAGTATCAGAATTGTACTGATTTTGTACTCATTTTTCATGTCAGGTTTCCGCTTTAATTTGGTGCCGAGAAAGTTCCTGGTGGAATTCTAATTTCATCTAATCTTCTTACTGTCCTTAAGGTAAGAGGTAGTTTATTTTTCTTTCCTTTACTGTTGAACTTGGCAAATTGCATACATTTCATGCTCTCCCAGTTTGAATATCGTTATGGGTAGTATAGAGGAAATTTCGTAGTAATTTCTTGTAAACTTCATTACGTGAATTACATCCTTGGCGAGAGTGTGATTGAGTTTGAGAAACGTGCTTAGAGTATTTTTGCTTCAATGGCCTAGCCCAACCATATGTTCCAAATCTTTTCTTTCCCCCCTTTCTGTACTCAAGAGATGATAAAGTTTGTTGTATGAGTAGATACATTTGAATTGCAACGACATGAGTCCAAGTGGAAAATAGCCACCTCTTAGGAATTTTCTTGTTTTTATTAAGGCATTAGCCTTTTTTCTGGTTGCCCATCTGCCGGTTGTGAAAATTGTTCCGTGATTTGCATTTTTTTTAGGTACTGGAATATTTATCTTTGGGCCTTATTGGGGTCCCCTCTAATCTTGTGGTCTGCTGGTTGCCTATCTGCAATGACCTGCGGCATCAATAGTTTCAACAATCTTAACAGAGCAGTAGTAAAGCCATTTCCTAAGAGGAGGAAGTACAGAATTGTATTGCTGAGATCCTTTTACACTTTGGCATCGGCATGTGGCACGTCCATCTCCTCTTTTGTCCAAAGGCCTTCATCGTTTGTGTTGACTGGCTGCCTCAAATCCCTGGATGCCCCACAACGATCTGATGAATGGTTTGCCCTTCGTAAGGACAGGTTAACGACAAGCACCTTCAGCACTGCTTTAGGGTTTTGGAGAGGCAACCGCCGTTTTGAGCTCTGGCAAGAGAAAGTTTATTCTGAAGATGAGCAACTAATTGAATCTGCTAAAAGGTTTGCCATGGATTGGGGTGTTCAAAATGAAGCAACTGCTATAGATCGCTATAAAAGCATCACCGGTCGTGATGTTAGCTTGCTGGGTTTTGCTGTACATCCAGAAGAGAGATTAGGTTGGATTGGTGCCTCTCCAGACGGGCTTTTAGATGGCTACCCAGGAGGTGGGATTTTGGAGGTGAAGTGTCCCTATAACAAAGGAAATCCTGACAAAGGGCTGCCCTGGTCAAAAATGCCATTCTATTACATGCCTCAAGTGCAGGGTCAAATGGAAGTAATGGACAGGGACTGGGTAGATTTGTACTGTTGGATGCCTAATGGTAGTACTGTTTTTCGTGTATGTAGAGATCGCGAGTACTGGGCATTGATTCATGGAATTTTACAAGAATTCTGGTGGGAAAATGTCATTCCGGCAAGGGAAGCTCTTTTACTGGGAAACAAAGAGGAAGCTGATTCATATAAACCAACATCAACACATAGACAAACAGGCCTTGCAATTAGTAAAAGCTTGAAGTTGGCTGGAGAGGTGAAACTTTTGTGCAGGGAGATAGCAGGTCATGTTGAGTTCTACCAATGTTGAACTTCGTGTACCAATTTTTTGGGTGCGGAATGGATTCAATGTTTTGGTTAATGTCCCTCTCATGTGTCAAATATCCTAGTTCAGATGAATGCTGATTCTTTATTAGTAATTCATTTGTTGTTGCATGGCTACATTAGTGTACAACTGAGTGTCAAAAGGATGCCTTTTAACTGTAGTACTACTTGCCGGGTTGTCTGAGAATGTTATATATGTGTTAGTATCTAATCTTCATTGGCAGCTCTTCTCTTTCAAATATTAATTGCTATTCTTTGTACCTAATCCGATTCGTCTAATTCATTGGAGTAACATATACATTGAAGGCAGTTGGGGAGAAGATTCACAGCATTTATTATCATTTTCGCACTTGAAACAATCTCTGTTCAATTTTAGAAGGAAAAAATCTATTTTTGTCCGCTGTCTCTGTTTGGTAGGTGAAAAGCACAGTCCTATGCTACTCCTGCAAGAAGGTAAATGATGTTGTGCTTTTCATTCCTTTTGAAAGTTTCGCTCTAAAATGATCCGTTGACTTGTGATCTTGGATTCATTTTTGCAGCAGCTGCATAGACCTGGCTCTCATAACAGTTTACATTAGCTTTCAAGAGCCAAATTATGGAAAAATTGGTAGTATGATGCCAATGATGATGAGGGGGGATAACAGCCAAGGCCGTTGACACTGTCAGTTATTCTGAAATGTGGTCCAAAAGTAGCTTCTGTTAAAGAGGATTTTCTGGACTCGGTCAGAGATTGCCCCTGTACCCTGGTAAATTTTTATTTGATGGCGTCATTATGATTTTTCGTGGCCAATTATATTCATTTTCCATCTAATAAAATTTATGTACCAGCATAGCATTTCCGTTAGCTGTTTGATTAAATTTACTTAACAGTTTGATTAACTTGTTTTGACTGGTTGTTTGTGTCTATTGATTAAGATCACATCTACAAAACTGCAGGGTGTTTATACACAGAGAAACTACCTTAGAAAGGATGTGTTATATTTGCTCAGGCCCATTTGTTCCGCGGGGAATTGCCACCTCCGGATGACGGTGGTGACTAAGTTTGTCAGCCTCAGGAGTGGCAAGAAAGGTGGTGATGGTGATGCAATCAGCCAGTCAAGGTGGCAGCAGTGCCAATGGGCCAACGGCGACAAGGGTAGGGTGGGTGGTAGTTATAAGAACTGATATGGTCTCACATGATCAGAACTAATGTGAATTTCATGTTGCCCATGTTTTAAAGATCACTTTTGTTAACTCCATTCTAAGCATTTCCCAAGTGAACTGGATATTTTGAAAAGTGAACTGCATATGAGCAAGCCAAGAGAGGGATGAAATCATCACGGTTTCAGTACTCTTAGGTGCGATTAAAAGAAATCGATACAGTTTTAAGATACTCCCTCTGGTTTTTAATATAAGACATATTGATTTGTCATAAATTTTACCTAGTATGTATTTTTTATTGACAAAATTTTTTTAAAAAAATATATTTTTACATTCGTCGTGTTCTCTTGATTATTTTGAAATATTTTTAAGGTTTTTTTATTTACGAAAAATGCGAACTAGGTTAAATCTAGAAAAAATTAAAATATCTTATAATAAAGATAGGAGGGAATATAAACTAAGATATTATCTTTTAATTTTGTTGATTAAAAGAGAAAAAGTGAAACAAAGACACCTAATGCATAGGTGAACCATACTGTATTTGTACTTAGGGCTTGGACAACGTGGGAAGTCATGTAACTATTCATTATGAACTAGGCCACTCACAAGTCACAATGCTCTCCTATTTCCTAAAGCTAGTGGTAAGAAAAACAGGCAAGATACGTGAGAAGAGTTCACGTAGATATGGGTAGAAATAGAGTAAACAAGCAGCTTATTAGGTTCTTTTTCAGGCTGACTAAGCAAAACTAAATGCAACATGTTGCTAGTCTAAAATATATTACGCATCAAACCTATAAACTTGAGAAGAAGTGAAGTAAACATGACTCTTAAAGTCTATAAATAGAGAATGAAGATTCGATCATTCACTTACACCCAAAAGCAAATTAATACTCCAAAGGTAGATTGAAGGACTATAGAATAAGTGAATTCTGTGAAATTTGCGGCTGAAGAAGGGAAAAGGAAGGAGGAGAAACTAGTAACAGTAACCATACATGAAAAATTCTTGCTCAAAATAAGTAATTAAGAAACCTTACTTTAGTTTGATTATTAATTTGTGAAATGATGATTTTCAAGATGGTATTAGTTTATGTTAATAGATTCATTTTAGTACTATTATTAGGTTTAAATTAGAATTATTAGTGTGAAATTCAACTAGAACTTATTTAAACTCGAAATTGTTCTTGCTGTCGGAAGTATCGTATGATTTTACTAAATTTGGCATAATTTGCTCTACAAAACTCGGATTTAGGAGCTGTTTGTTGCGTTATAAACAGAAACGGTTGAAAACGTATTGAGATATGAAACAAATCTAAAATTTGGGGCCTTTTAGAAGGAAAAACAAAATTTATATATCGATTTTTTTTAATGTTGGATTTCTTTGTTTAGTTTTTTATTTTTATTTTTAAAACCTTACTAATTATTTAAACCTTATTAAAAATTCCAACTAAGCCTATTAATGTATGTAATTTTTAATTTTTTTAAAAAAATACTCTATTATTAATAATACATAAATAAAATTTGACGCCTTAAAAAATTAGGAGCCTAAAGTCCTATCTTCACTAGCTTGGCCCTAAGGTCAGCTCTGGTTGTAACTAGATCTTCAGAGGTTTTTAATGGTATAACATACTTATCCTAAATTTTTCTATAGTAATACTATTCAGTCTGAAAATGCCCTAAAAGAAGTAATGTTATCTTCTTAGTACCAAAGGTTATAGTTTTAAGTTTTAAAGCTTTGAAAATGCTTCTAAGGTTATTAAACAGACATTCTTGCCTTCTTATATAATTATTTAAATACAGCAAAAAGAATCTCGAAATTTGTAATTTATGTTACAATATTTAAATAATTATATAAGAAGGCAAGAATGTTCATTTAACGACTTTAGAAGCATTTACAAAACTTTAAAACTTAAAATACAAGTTTTGGTACTAAGAAGATAACATTAGTTTGTTTTTTTTTTGACATTTTCAAGGATTGAATAGTATCACTACAGAAAGATTCAGGGTGTGTATGTTATACCATTAGAAAGCTCTAAGATTCTCGTTTATTACCCTATAAACGGCTCCTAATTCGAATTTTCTACAGTAAGTTATGTCTAATTTAGCAAAATTGCACTATGCTACTGACAACAAGAATGGTTTCGAGTTTACATAAGTATTAATCAAATTTCGCACTAATAATTTTAACTGAAACCTAATGATAATACTAAGATGAATCTATTAACATAAACTGCATTCTTACTATCATGAAAATCATAATTTGACAAATTAATAATCAAACTAAAGAAAAGTTTCTTAATTACCTTTCTTGAGCAAGAGTTTTTCCTATATTAGTTGGTGTTGCTAGCTTCTCCTCCTTCCATTTCCTCTCTCCAACCTGAAGGACGACAGAATTCATTCACTCTATAGTCCTACCAATCTACTTTTGGAGTATTAGATTGCTTTTAGTACAAGTAAATGACCAAATCTTCAGCCTCTATTTATAAATGGAGAGTTTAAGAATCATGCTTGCTTCACTTATTCTCTAACTTATAGGTTTGATGCATAATAGATTTTAGACCAACCATATGTTGCATTTGGTTTTGCTTAGTCACCCTAAAAGGACCTAGTAAGCTGTTTTTTTAATCCATTTGTGTCCACATGTACGTGAACTCTTCCCACATATCTTGCCTAATTTACTTACAGCCTTAGAGCAAGTGTAGCGGAAGAGTAAAGAGTCTCTTTTCCAACTCAGCATAAGTAACCCCACATCTATTTACTTTTTATCTCTTCCAATGATTTTACTTAAAATAGTAAACAATGTGGGCCAGTTTCTCAGCACCTTGTCCCCCCACCTTGTCCACACTTAACTTTTATCACAACATTTTGGTACATCATTTTATTTTCGAACTACATTTGATTTTCTTGTCACATTTTAATTTTTTCTTAGCATTCGTAAAAGAAGAAAAATTAGAAAATATATAGGTCAAATAAAAATATTTAATCCTTAATTAAGATAATTTAATTTAAGGTACATAACACACATCATAATTAAAAACACAAGAAAATTTAAAAGTACAAAATGTCACAATAAAGGCACAAACATAAAAATACAAATTAAATCAAATTAAAAGATAAATTTCTTTAATTTTCATTATAGTTGTGTCCAAATCATGCCCAAATATATTCAACGAAATCTGCTTGGACTTGATGATGAACTTAACGATCTCGGAGTTCCAAATTTGCTTCAAGATAGCGTTAAAATTCCGTGAGCACCTCAGCTGCAATTAATTGAAAGACATCCATCATCATCTCCGGCACTCTAGTTTGGTGTTTCAACTCCTTCATCTTCAACAATGATATTATGCAATATGATACATGCATACATTATATTTGTCAATTAAGAGATGGGAGGGTTGGGTGGGGTGGTTAGGGGATTAGGGTGGACGATGGTTATTAGCAGGAGGCCGAGGGTTTGATTCTCACTAGGGCCATCCAATTTTTTTTAAAAAAAATAGTGTATTTGTCAATTTTGGTCTACCCCACGAGCTTGCAGTACCCCGAGTGTCCACTCCACATCCTTTCTTGCAGCTTCTTACATTTCCTTAAACGCCTTTTTGGATCCAATGAAGATGGAAAAATACTTCACAAATGCTGCCCATTCAGGATATATACCATCAGCTAAATAATACCCCTTATTGTATTGTGTGTGATTAACTGTGAATTGGACATTAGAAGCATGCCCGTACAATACATCATTTAAAACTGGGGATTGATTTAGAATATTGATGCCGTTATTAGACCCTGCAAGTCCAAAAAATGCATGCCATATCCATAGATCGGCTGATGCAACTGCTTTACGAATTATTGTGGGTTTACCTATGTCATCTCGAGTAAATTGGCCTTTCTAACCAACTGGGCCACATCTTCCACTGTCAATGCATGCAATTGTTACTCCCAAGCATGCCTGGAAACCCGTGGCGTTCTGAATGCATATGAAGTAAGTGCTCCATGTCATCGGCGTTGGGTTTTCTAAGATATTGTTCTCCGTATATCTCGATTATATATTGACAGAATTTCTTTAAACACTCTATTACAGTGGATTTACCAATCCTTATGTACTCTTCAATTTGTTCATCTGTCGTTTCGTATGCTAACTGTCGAATAGCAGCTGTTGTTTTTTGAATTAGAGAGAGCCCTTTTACACCGGCAACATCGAACTGCCATTGAAAATATTCTGAATGAGCTTCTAGTTCTTCGACATTTCGCATGAATAGATCTCTTTTCATTTGAAATCTTAGCCGAAAATAATCCAACGAGAAGACTGGATTTTCTGGAAAAAAATCATTGAAAATTCGAATATGACCTTCTTCTCGAACTCTTTTAATATGTCTTTGAGTACGCACTTGAGAACTTTCAACTTCATTTTTTTCTAATTGACCCAACATTATTATAATTTGCTCATCAGTGTCGTTATTCATTCATCTTTTATGAATTGCACCATTTTAACCATAATAGAAGTATTATCGGGAATTTGAGACATTTTGGATTGAGATGTATATATGAATGTATTGTGGATGACAATGTCAAAAAAATATTTACGGAAGTGTTTTATAATGTATTTAGAAAAAATGATGGACAAGGGCAATGTATGACACTGCGCAAAATTATTAAAGCAACAATGGTGAATAAGAATTGTAATAGGGGGATGTATTTATAGATGAAACAGAAGTATGGGAAAATGGTACATGACAAATGCCTGCAAACAAGTTTATTTTATTTTATTTTTTTTTAAAAAAAAAACCTTATCTTTTGTTTATCTTTCCAATGAATTACATTTTTTATTTTTAATTTAATACATGGTGGGCCACCTCATTTTTGGAAGCCTTTATGCATCAACGTTTTTATCATTTTTTCCACTATTCCTTTCTAAACCAACGGCTAGCCTTTATGTTAAGTATTTTTTTTAAGGATTTACGTTAAGTAGTTTCGTCCTTTTAATTTATTTTTAGTTAAGGTAACATTGAAAGACATATTACTTAAACGTATTAAACTAACACACAATACAAAAGTATATTAATAATACCCTGAAAATCAAAACCAAATACAAAGGTACTAAGATTAAAATAAAAAAACACACAATTCTTTCAAATAAAAAAAACAACACACAATTTGTAAAAAACAACCACACTAATCAAGATTATGCTTTTCCACAAAGCAGCATACCATTTGTTGTGAGCTTCAAGTTGTTCATTCATCCCTGTAGTATCATTCGTCAAAATGTCATACTGTTTTACGTATGTGAGATTT